ACCATGCATAAACCGGTAAGGATACCAAACCTAACCTAACGGAGAGTTTGGAATAATCTTACCAAACTACTGTTGACAAACAGTAAATATACCACCAAATTTCTGAACCAAATTGCCGTAGACATCAAGCTCGGGGCAAAATCGTCCAACTTTTTCTGTAAAATCTGAAATAGAAAACAAACGACATCAGTGCGTTCAGGACGTCAAAATAAGTAAATTGCCCGAAAAGAGCTCGCCGGAGGTCCGGCCATGCGCCGCCGCCGCTGGTCACGCACCCCACCACAGGGTGTGCCTCCTCCTGCTGGTCATGGTTCCGTGGTCCATTTCGTCGGAAAGTCAATAGGTTGGCCGGAAATCAAGTTTTCAGATTCGGTCAGAAAGTGGTAATGGCGATTTCCTTGCTGGTTTTTGATCGATTTTGGACTAATATCACTCCTCCTAGCTCTGATACCAGTTTGTTGGGGATCCTGGGAGTTCAATCAACCAAAACATCAATCAACAAACAAGATTCAAGGCAAAAAAAAGAAAATATAAAACCGGAAGAATACAACCCCTTATATGGCCGAAATCTGTCCAGCTTCTTCTTCTTCCTTGCAGCAGCTTCTTCATCTCTTATGGCAGATTTTACAGGCTCAGGAACAACCCCATGCTATGCAAATCGCCTTCCAAAGAAATAGAGAAAGAACCGGCAAAGAACCCCTTGAAAAACCACCAACCAAGAGACCACCTTAAGGAACCAACAAAATAGAGGAGAGTTTCTGTCGAGCCACACCGGAGAAAATGACCAGCTTGCCTCTTTTGAAATAACCCCCACCCAACCGAAGACACTGCCCTCTTACACAAAACGTGGGGTAAGTAATATGTTAGGTGAAAAATTGGTCAAAGCTTCTCCCACAAGATTAAATCTCGAATCATTGATCTTCATCCAATGGTTCACAAAAAACTGAATAAAGTGGGTTAAGATAGCCATATTCTCACAAAAATGTATCAAGCATTTAATACATTGTCCCTATCAACAATAACATCAATCAATGTTCAAATAAGAACCACAATGATCTTATTCAATGTAACAAGTAGGTCATGGCATGGTTCGGGTTGAGTTGATTTGGAAGCCAACTCGAAACCAGAACCGCCTTTATTGGTTTAGGTAAATTTCAATCCAAATTAATCCAATTAGCAGTTAAAATCGAATGAAACCAAACTGGTTTGAGGTGATTTGGTTTGGTTAATCGATTTGCATACTACGTATCAATAATATATATAATTTAAATGGTAAATAGTCGATTTTACAAAATCATCCTATATATTTGATAGTTACCAAACAATCACACAAAAATGAAAAGCAATGCTACATTCTAAATTTGAAATTTACGTCAAACACTTATTGCTTTATTTTCTTTTGATATTTGGAGTTTTGTTATAAAAAGCATAGACAGTTATTTATGTTTTTATTATTTCCTTTTTAAGTTTAAAAAGATGAATTGTAAAATGGAAAAAAATAAAAATAAATGTATTAGTGGGTTGTGTCAGCTAATTCACGGGTTGGTCTCTTAAATCAAAACCAACCCAATCCGACTTTGTAATGGTTAAAATTAATTGAATCAAATCGATTTTTTCTGTTCAAATCAATCCAAATTGGCCCAACTCGATTTGGTTGGTTTTTCAATTTTTTTGCTCACCCCTAGTAACAAGTATTGAAATAGTGATAGTGGTTTGACTAGAAAAAATGAAAATCAATCTCGAATATGATCTAATTACATGTAAAAAATAAATAAATAAATAAATAAATTAGCTACGATATGTCTGTTAACTAACAATTGTCGCCATTTTATGAGATGATAAGGAACAAAATCTGACGAAATGGAAAAATTTGAAATTAAATTGAAAATTATTATTGAAATAAATTATAGTTCAGTGGCTCATGCCTCATAGTGTGCTGTAATTTGATCACCAACCACAAAATATGTTAAAGAGAATACATTTCAAAATTTGATTACATGGAAATTATACTGAAAAATCAGCTGAATCAGTCTAGTTATAGACATCTCAATTTGTCATTTGGCCTATAATCCTCTATTTTTTCGACGCCAATGAACAAACCGGTTTTTTAAAAAAAATATTCCAAACAACTGGGAATTATTTATTTATTCGAATCAAACATTTCAGATGAAGTCTTTAATTTAATTCAACCAAACAAATAGAATTGGATATTCCTCGGATCTCAAAACAGGCTACAACCCAATCATTGCACACATTATATGGACCAACCAACAACTAGCTGGCCCTTTCCAGCATTTTCCTTTTAATTATCAAATTTTCATTTAAATTTTTTTCACAAGCATACTCGAAGGAAAAAAATAAAAAAAAAAAACAAAAAAAAAAAAAAAAAAAAAAAAAACAGAAAAATAGAGTAATAGAAAGAAAAGAAGAAGCTTTCACAATAACAAACACCACTAACAACCATCGCCACCACCGCCACCGTGAGAACTACCGCATGCGCTTCCACTCATATCCGATAGATGACTGGAAACAACCACGACGGCGGCAGCTGCTGTGCCTGCATCTGTATTGGCAGCTCTGCCACCACTGTCTAGTTGAGTATAGTTAGTTACTCCAAGACTACTATCCTTTTCCTTTTTCTCATGGATTCCTGTTGACTTGGATCTTCTTTTACCACTTTCACTTGATTTGAATCCCTTCGACTCTGGATCATCATTTCTGCTTCTTTTACAGCTTGTGATGCAAAAACAGATCTTCCACATATTTATAATCTTCTATCAACAAGATTTCTTCCTCATTCTTTCTTGACTAATGCCTCTTCCTTATATATAGACCATGATTAGCTAAGCCAAAATTGTTTAACTCTAAGTAAATCCTAAAATAAATATTTTTTTTAAAAGTAAATTGTGCTCGACAAACTCACTTGTACCAAGCTTACGACTAAAAGTAAGAGTTCATGTGAGGGATTTATCATTATAGTAACGTTTCTTTGCACCAAATTACTGGTGTCAAATATGAGTTAAAATGACAGTAAAATTCTATGCAGGTGCTAAGTATAGATAGTGCTACATAACATTATTCTTTTTCATAATTGTTGGATGATTTTATTGTTAATTAGGTGCTTCAAAATTTGGTCAAAGATTAGAAGATTGCGTGTTGTCTTGGTTTAGAAAAGAATAATTAGAGCCAAGTGAAAAAGGAAAGGAATCAATTGCATCCAAAATTAAGGAAACAATATTTGGGCGCCGGATTTCTTTCTTTAACGTGGTTTTTTTTTTTTTTTTCATATTTTAGCCTAGTTTTAGAGTTTGACTCGTGTACTATAAAGAACCTTACTATATGTACACTATAGTGTATACTTTAGTTTACACTCTGTCATGTGATATTACCCTATTTAACAGTTTAAATTTCAAATAGTTTTTTCATTCAATTGACACTTGAAAACAATGCAAGTGTCAACCAAAATATCAAAAATCAGTGTACAAATAGCAAATTTCGTACTATAAATATGTGGCTCATCTTTCAGTTTAGTTTAAGCCAAATTGCTGTGTCATTGTAATTCTCTCCGTATTGTCGAGTTTAATAAAATTCATTGTTCCTCTGCTTAGTTTCTCTTTTTCTACTTTACTTTAATCTTGTTTTCGTGGTACGATCTTGAATATTTCATTATTTCCATTAAATCTTAATCTTGTATCGCCTTTTGGATCAACATTTATTCGTCGCACTTTGATTTTTTCTCCTTTTCTTTTTAAAAGCAGTCAAATGTTATATTCATATATGAATTCAAAAACTGAAATCAAATTTAAACACAAGAATGACACTCGACAGCCAGTAGGCTGACAGCTCAATCTGTGATCTTTACAGATTATTGGTCAATTGATTTATATTTAGCCCCGTTTGGTTTTGAATTTTCAAGCCAAAAAATCAATTTTTTGACCATTATTTAATATAGTCAACCGTCATTTTTTACTACTTCACTCACAGATAGAATCCACTTTTCTCATAATCAGTACCAAACAAACCCTAAATTTACTTTGCGAAGCAAAGATTCCATATAAAAGCTTCAAACTAATCAATTAAAGTTCAACTGCAGAGAAATGTTTAAAGCAATTATGACGCGGAATAAAGGGTATTTGTACAATTGATTGATTGTTAAGAAAAAGAGAAAGGTGCCCACTAACATGGAGTAATTACTTCAATAATTCTTTTCTTTAATTATTCACGGCAATAATGTGAGCAAGCTGACGAGTAAAATTTATCACCGATTATAAAAAAATAAAAATAAATAAATAAATAAATAACTACTTTTGTGAAAGCCCCTTTAACAAGCCTCCTACTTTTGAGCAGAATAGCTTTTTTGATAAAACTAGCTTAAAGCTAGTTTGATAGAACTTTTAGCCCATATTTGAGATCCATTATCTAAGAGCTCTTTTTTTTCTAAATTCATTTTCAACCGCAAATTTTTGAAATAAAATAACTGTACGTATAAAGCAAAAACTTTTGCATACTTTTAATTACGCATCCTCTAAAAAAATAGAGTTCAAATAGAAGCTTACTTAGGCTTCTTGAAAAAAAAAAAAAAAAAAAAGGAGGACAAAGCTAGTTTAAAACCCGTTTGACAAGATTTTTACTTTTGCTTTTGTTTCTTGTAGAAGAATTTTTCGAAAAAACTATCTTAAGTCATCTTCCTTTAAAAATCCTCCTAACCAGATAAAGTACTTCTAGAAAAAATAACATAAACATGTTCAAAAATCAAAAGCAATTTCTTCCTTTTATAAACAACTTTTTAATTTTTCAAAAATTCAATCTTCAACCAGGTCCCCTAAAAACTATTCTAACCAAACAAATTTTCACAAAATTATTCAAATGTGTTCAAATTAACTTTTTTAATTACAGATGCAGCTTTTGATTATTATTATTATTTTTAGTCTAGCTTGATTCACAATTAGAATATATCATGCATCAGCCACGTTGGGTTAGGTCAACAGACTCAAATATAATTTCTTTTTATCAGCAATCAATTTGTAATCTTCTAATTAATTTGTCCATTTACAATTGTCATAACAAATATCAAATGATAAGCAGCTCACATAATAACTAGATACATAACTGTAGTTCAAGTACATCCAAACTAGATTGACATGTTCTAAAATATCTATCATATGCATGAATCATCAATGTCGATGTTCAAAATTGCGAAGTGCCATCGAATCAAGATAATTTGTCATTGTCAGAATTCAAATCTTCGACGTGCTTGGTTCGTTCATAATTTGTGGCCAGCCTTGGCAGAAACAAGCTAAGCAATGACGAACACTAGATTTCAATGACAAACCAATTCAAAAAATTTTGCCAAAAAAGAATTACTAACCATGAACGTATACACATATTTTCCATTTTTATTGTACAGGCACAGAGCCATCTTGCTTCATCTTTATAAGACTGTTCTCTATGTTCCGCAGGACAGGTTTATAGCTGCAAAAATGTCGAATATCAGTAATAAGAAAACTGCCAAAACAGAAAATGTGGAAGCTTCAGAGGAAGGCATACAGGCGCGCAAGACCATTATATGCTTGTGTAGCTTGCTGGAGGCGTACTGAGAGCTGCAAGACCTCTGCAGACAAAGCCTCGGCTCTGCTTTGTTCTTTAGCAAGTTGGCCCTGCACGATTTAGAACATGTAATCAGTTGACACTACAAACTCCACGCTTTTCCCACTAAAAATACAGACACGATAAGTGCAAAATGACATTTCTCCAATTCAAGAACTATACAATGTTATCACTTATTAATTAAAATAGGACACCCCAAAAAAATATTGAAAAACAAGGTAAGTAATTAAGAAAGAACAGTTTCAATTAACAAACCTTGAGACTCAAAAAATCAGATGCATATTGGGAGCCTTCTCCTTCCTCCCTGGCTTCCAGAAGACCTATCTGGATAATTCTATCATTCGGAGTCGGTAAACTGGTTTGTTCTGCACGCAACTTATCTAACATACCACGGAGTTCCTCATTTTGCTTCAAACAATCTTTCACCTGCATGAAACAAATATTATGCAAACTACATGGAAGAAAGAGAAGTTGATCTGGAAACAGACACTTTAAATTTTACAGGATAATTGAAGATTGGTAACGTAATCCCAACTGAAGGCTAATCATATATCTTTTAAGCCACTCCACCAAATTGAGCTTAAAAAACAAAGAGCTATACATTGGCGATAAACAAAACATATGATGAGTACAAAGCTTATTGCAACAAGGTGCAAAGACAGGAAAAGTGACACGCTGCTCAGCAAGTATAAAATCTTAAGGCAGAGGCTGCCCTTTCATTCAAGATAGAAGAAAATTCAGTTTAGGACTCAAAAAGTATCGGAAGTTAACAAAGGAAACAGTTTGAAAGTTTTCGTAGAGAGTAATAAAACATCTCTTCGTTAATAAAGCATTTGCAAGTTGTAACCAAATACCTGATTCTCCCAGTGAGCCACTAATCCTACTGAGTCCTGATAAGCAGTTGAGAGACTAGAATTCTCGTCAAAAAGCCTCTCTATTTCAGAAGACTGAGAATCAATCTGTAAATGACAACAGAAAAAATGAATTTTGGTTCTTGATGCTACACAAGGTTAAAGTAGAAAAAATGTACCTCTATCATAAGTTTTTGCCTGCTACTTTCTAATCTCTCAATAGCTACTGCCATATCATGCAATTGCTTCTCGAGTTTCTCCTTGTCTTCCTGCGACCATATATATATAATGGCAGAAGGTAACAATTGGTGTATTAACACTAAGATAAAGAATAGGTACAGGGCCAAATCAGAAAGGGCAAAAGTAAAATTCAGTTGAACAACTAAAACAAATTGTGATTTTCCAAAAACCTATTCCAATATGCAAAATAAATTCTAACGACTCGCCCAAGAACTAAACCATTATCCATCGAAAGACTATTCTTACCACTGAGAATGTTTTTGATTTTTCTGTGACTTCCTCTGCATTGCATAAGGAAAATAATGCATAAGATAGGGAATCAGTTATTAAGGAAACACAAGTGAATTTAAAAAAGAGAGAAAAATACCTTAATATATAATCAAAATTCAACTCGGCCAAGCCTTATCCACACATAAAAACATTTCTACATGGATCATTTTCTTCACTCCACTCAATTAAAAGCCATCTCCAAGTCAAATTACAAAGGCTCATTTTTCATTTGTTAATTTTAATCCTTTGTTATTAAGTCAACCAACTTTTCTATGTTTATCATTAATAAATAATTCCTTCAATTTTACTAACGAGTACATCTAGTAACCTTCGTTTAATACAAACAATCTATTTCAAATGGCTATCTTGCATTTTATAAAGAAAACTCGCGTGCTTATTTCTTATCATCTCTCTTCTTTGTTTTATCACAAATCCATCTTAACATCTTCATCTCAGCTCCACTCAATTTAAATACAGTATTTAATTAATAGCCAAAAATTGAGTGCTAAATACCATCTAGGTAGAACACAAACAGGAAAAGTGACATGGCACAATTAGAAGTGGGCACGATAGAATGACACAAAATATCGGTGAAACATTTTATAAAATAAATTTTTATATTCAACTTCACAAACCCGTCTAGTATCAACTGAATACTAAATTAACGTCTAGTATTCGCATTGAGTTTAAATTTGATGTGCTTAGTAGTCCAAAAGTATACAAAAAACAAATGTTCAACTAGTGAAAATATTCACTTCAATTTTTCATATTAATTTGACAGGTGCTCAATTGTATAACCATCAACAACATTTGCAGCACTCTTTCCTGTTCTACTTCTCTCTTGTCTCTCTCCCCCATTTTGTATCATACCCCACGCTAAATCTCAAAATTAGATTTAAATGTCTAGAAACAAGTTTAAAGCACTTCGTTTTAATATTCCTAAGCAAATATGCAAAACCTGAGCTCGTTCTGGACATCGCTGCAAGTTTTTCTTCCAACTCCTGCTTTTGAAGAATAAGGGCAGATGTCCGCAGTTGCTCCTCTGCTAACTGTTGCTGCTCTTGCTGCCTCATCATTGACTCTTTCTGTAATTTCAACAACCATGTGACTTACAAGACCATATAAATTAGCATTCACTGACACTAGAAATGTTTGAAAATATGACCTCAAACTGAGACTTTAAACTGGCTAGTTCATTTTCCATGGCTTGAATGCGATCAGGTGGATATCCTGTAGCGGTTACACTGGCTAGAGGATCACTCATTGATTGCTGTAGTAACGAATTCACTTCTGCTCTCAATGCAGCCGCATCCTCCTCAGCCTATTGCAAGAGGCATAATAAGCACTAAAAGAAAATATGCCAACACTGGTAATCATGAAAACCACTGCCTTACACGGTACTGCTCTTCTTCTGCTTCTTTCAGTCTTTTCTTTAATGTGCGAAGCTGTGCTGACAAATCCTCCTGCTCTAAAATAGGAGTTTATAGGTGATGAGAAGAAGCATAAACATAAAACCCTACCATGAGAAACTTCAGAAATGTTAGGGTTGCACATACCCGAGCAACAACTGCGGCATCTTTTTCCATCGCAATATCCCTGAGAGCTTTTCTCAGTGATGGGACAGTGTTCTGCTCCTGCAAAATCAAAGAGAAGAGAACACATTGATTAATGTTCACTATAAAATGAAATTACCAAAATATTTACAACGTTTGTACTCAAAATCAAGGTTCAACTTTTCAATCGTTAATGGTGATTTGTTACCTATCCAAAAGAAAAGAGATATAAATCATTAAATTTCACATTCTTTCATCAGTCAGATACTCCTATTAAGAAACAAGTTTCTCCTATGATTATATAAAGGGTTAAACACATCGTTAATCACCTAATTTGTAGCGTTATTTCACTTTGGTCATAAAACTTTTTTTTTTTTTGTTTCATATTGGTCATTGAACTTTATTTTCCTCACAGTTCAGGCGCTAAACTGAATTGCTCACTCACAAAAAATGTCTGGCGTGAAAAATCCACTTTTCATTGTCTTTATAATCCAATTGCAGAAAAATGCATCCTCTTGGACTAGTGCTTTTGAAATATCATTTTCTAAAGCAACAAAAAGTTATTATGGCTCTGTTTGACCCATATTCTTTAAAAAAAAATACGTTTTTAAACAATGATTGGATATTATTTCAACCATACATTTTTCGATAAAATAATATTATATGCAAATCCAAAAGTTTTTCTTATCTTTTAACCACCTATTTCCCATCAATACACTATTCAAAAATGTATCCTTAGGAAAATAATGTGGTTCAAACAAGAGCTATATAAAAAGTCTAAATCTAAATCTTCTCCCTTTCCCTCTCACCACTACCATCGTAACTAACAACAGACAAGTATTTCTGTTAACTTAGCAAACAGAGGCGTGAGGAATGCCTAAATATGTCAGTAGCTAATTTGGACCATAAATGGTTCGTTAAATAAAGTAAAACAATGCTATAAATTGAATGACTGACATTGTTATTAACCCATTATATGAAAGATCATAGAAGTAAATCCACAAATAATGATTAATCCCACTGACATTAACAGATTGTAAGTTCTGAGAGAGAGAGACAGAAATTTTGCCCCTATGTTGTTTTAAATGCAATCAAGCATGGTCATACCACATAAATCCTGTAATTTATCCAAACACATACATGATCATATGCTAATGCACACACACTTCAACAAAAACATTGATTTCTATAATTAGCAATTTTGTAATCTTCACTTGAATACAATTAAAATCAAAAAGCAAACTGAATATCATCAAAATAAAATTCAAATCAGATTGCAACTTACAGTCATATTAAGTATTTAACATAAACCCCTCTAAGAAATTAAAACAATCAACATATAATAAAATTCTCCACTCTAACCATGAATTTCATAAAAAATGTCAAATTCACTTGAAACGCATAAAACTCCTCATGAATCCATGGACCCGAAGCCTCAGATGTGGAACACAGGCTTTCAATGTATTAGATAATTATCTTATTCATCTTCTATCTAGCCATCTATCTTCCACTGCAAATCAGCTATAGTAAGTAATTAGTGGCATGTACAATTAATGTTCCATGAACATGACCTTTTGCCATTTATCTTGGGGATTTCTTCAGTGGTGAAAATCCACTTCTTAATTGCTCTCTCAGCAGAATAAACAGCGAAACCACCGCCTACTTGGATACCGTTACATCAGATCCTTCAGAAGCTAAGCTATGAAGGCACTCAAACTAATTGCCAAATCAAAAAACTACTTTCTTGAAAGCCCTCTTCATCTTTAGCCATTTTAAGTCAATGCTAATCCTTTGTTGACTTACCAAATTAAATAATGAAGTGAAGGTGAATGCAACAGGTGATCGAAATTGTGACACAAATAAGAATGAAAACCATTGATTTCCTCTTACATGGCATCCCATTTGGTGTGAATAGGCATAAAATAGGTTACAAAATTATTAAGATATTGCCGTCTTAACCAAGAGCAGTTACCAGATCACTGACTCGCTTCTGCAGCATGTCATTCTCAATTTCTTTTGCATCAAGCTGATCAAATGCAGAAAAGGATTATTAGTGCAGAGAATACTGCATATAGGAAGGCTATATAATCTGTGATACACCAGCTAAAAAGTAGAGCGAGCCAGCTGATAACTATGACAAACTCCATTCAACTATGAATGTACACTTGTATCTAATCATACAATGATCATACCGTGGAGGTCAAGTTCCTATTTACTTCTCCAAGCTCCGCATTCCTCTGTTGCATATCTTTTAACTGTGATACTAATCCACTGATATCATTCTACATCATAAACAACAGGGTCAAACTATATTTAGGTACGCGCAAAATTAACAAAAATATACACATTTAAAAGGGGACAACAATTTCCCTAAATTTCAATTCGTATGACAGGAAAGATATTTAAAAAATATATCATTAGGTATCATAAGGTACACACACATATTAGACAATGGTCTATGTAAAAACGAGAACATAAAAATAAACCACCGGTTTTCATATTTGATAATATATTACGATCAAGAAAATTATAACAAAAAATGAATTATAAAGCTGCGAAAAAGGGTTATTTGTTACCTCCGAGAGTCTATTTCCGCTCTCTGATTTTTTCATTCCCACAACATCTATGAAAAAAAAACCCCAAAGGATATCAATGACATACAATATATTTATATTTTTTAAATCTGGAAAAAAAAAATGGAAAAAATTATCACCTGCGATGGGAGCTTTGGTAAGATCTGGTCCCGAGGATGCTTTGCTCAATCTTTCAGCTGCTCTCTTTTGTCGAATTTCTTCCAGCTGAATATATGTAATTACGATTACACAAGAAATTCAAAAAAATAAGGAAAATGAAGATCTTGTACAGATCAACAGAGAAAAATTATGAGAGAAATCGATTTACCGTTCGCCGACCCAGTGATGCATGGCGAGAATCCATCATATTCTCTAACGGATTTAATTGACGGAGCGAGAGAGATTTGTTGCCTGAATGGTTCCAACGGTCGACCTCACGTCGTCTCGAGGAAACGCAACGGCAAGTTCGAAGTTGGGATTTTTGGCACTTGTTTGGTTCATTTAAGCCCTCGTTTGGGCTCCGGGGTAATTTTTAGTTTGTCTTAGTCAAATGGGCAATTTTTCATTTAACCAAAAAAATTTGTCTATAATCAAAATGACCTTTTATTGAGTAAAAGACAAAAATACCCTTAAATAGTTTAAACAATTACAAAAATAGACTTTTGTTTCAAAAGACAAAAATACCCTTAAGTTACAAATTAAAAAATCAAACACTTTTCACTTTATATTTAATTATTTATTTTAAACAATTACCCAAATTAAAAAAATTAATATTAAATTTACTTTCTTGTTTAAATATTTCATTAATTAATTATCTTAATCGGTTATATATATTATTTATTTAATATTTAATTTCTTTATTTAATTATTTATTTAATCACTTGCTTAAATAAAAAATTAATATTTAATTTAATTTCTCATTTAAATATTTTATTAATTCATTATCTTAATTGATTATGTATATTTAATAAATTATTTAATTATTTATTTTAAACACTTATTCAAATAAAAAATTAATATTTAATTTTG